TCCGGGAGGGCGGAGCTCGAGCGTTGTGGGCGGGGTGAACGCGAGGTCTCTGGAGGAGAGACTTAGTATTTGGTGGTTGTTGAGTCTTCCAGGGCCCGGCCTGTTGCATGGCTATTGTGGGAAGGCCCTCTAAAGGGAGAGGGGAGGGAGAGAAAGGAACTGGAAAAATCTACTGTAGCCCCATCCCCTGAGAGGGGCGCGCGGGGCGGAGCCTGGGTGGGCGGTGCCTCCTCCGGGGCGGTACGAGTGTGAGGAGGGGGGCGGGGCCTGGCTGAGAAGCGACGCTAGGAACCCGGCCCGGGGTCCCGCGCCTCACTGGAGGCGGGGCCAGTGGGAAGACGCGGGGACGGTTTGGGTTGTGGTGGACTGCGTCTTTGGTGTCTAGTCTGCGGAGGCATTTTAAAGTCCTGAACCAGCCCAGGAAGAAGTCCTCAAGACTTAAAGGGAAAACAACATGAAAAGGAACTTGGCGCGCCCTAATCGCCGCGAAGAAGCTGGGATGAGCAAGATTGCATTTGCTGCTTACCTGCTTCGCCAGCCGAGCCCTGAAGTAGTTTTCTTCTGGGCTGAGTGAATTCTCCTGGCTGCCTGGGAAGGGTCCCAGTGGGGCTGGCGGGCTCCCCCGCCCTGCAGGGCTCCTGCCCTGCTAGCTGGCTGGGACGCGTTGCCGTGGCGGTAGCCATGGGGACCAGAGCTTGCTGGTGCTCCGATTCACACGAGATTGCGAAAATAACTTGACAGTGCTGAGCTAAAGCGCTTTATTACAAGTTTTAGGAGGCCTATACTCCACCGATAGCTGCGATGTTTCTTATTATAATGCTTTTTACTTTTAGTGCTAGAATGGGTAAAATGAAGAATGAAGGTCTGATGGATCAGGTGGTTCCTGATAACGTTATTAAATGTCTACGTCTTCACTGAAGTAATTTTAAGAGTCGAACAATTATTTAGGAAGACCATAATACCTGGCATGCATAGGTTAACTCTGCAGAGACTTAATAAGCAGTAGCTGTACCAGATTATCAAATTCGTTTGTCTGAATTCTCTGTATTGTTTGATTATAAATCACCCTCATTGAGGGTGAGGTGGTTTTGTCCTCTGTGATCTAAGAATCCAAACTTTGAAAACAAAATCTTAAACTATTCATACCTTAAAATTGTATAGGTCCCTTTTGAAGAATTACTAGTCTGTACAAATTAGATTTTGAAAAATACATGCTTTGCATCTAGGTAGCTCACATTTGTTTAAAAGTGATGTTCTTTTCAGTTAAATTTTCTAGACATTTATCAAGATAGTCTTCAAGAATTTAATACATTAAAGAAAAAGTCGTAGAACCATATGAGATAAACTGTTCTAAAGTACCCTCTGAGGAATTAGAAAAAGATCAGTCAGTGAATGTTAATATATATGCCTCACCTTTGCTGTAAAATACAGAATGCTTTTGGCTAGTGGATCATTGACTTATCCAAAGTTTTTTACCATTATTTTAAATAATAGCAAATAATACAATGTTCGATGCATTGTAAAATGTCATCTTACAAATATCTTGTCATTGCTTTAAATGTACCTACTGGAATTAAGTACTGTAACATGTAAATACTGATCTATTTTTGTAGTTGAAGTTTTATATTGTACTGTCTGGATACGTTTTTGTTGTCATAAATGGGGAAATGGGGTGCTATTGGCATCTAATTAGAAGAGACCAAGGGTGCAGCAAAAAATCCTACAGTGTACAGAACAATCCCTGAAAACGAGGAATTCACTCACCAAAAATGTCAGTAACATGTAGCTTGTTTTCAGGCAAAAAAAAAAAAAAAAAAAAAAAAAGTCTTATTGGTTATCATAGTTACACCAAGTAATAAATGTATATTTAATTTTTTTCATATCTTCTGACCACATTGTTCTAAATGTTAAATCAATTTGGAGGAAAAAATTTTATTACTACATAAATATCCCAGTTTTGAATAATTAATCATAGATATAAGATTTTATTGAAATACATTTCTTCATGAGATTGGAAAAGTTCTTTACCTAGTCATTAGAATTATATTTTCATATTGCTTTTTTTTGTGTGCCTTGGCAATGAGTGTTCTGTTGCAGCATACTCATTCTGCTTCTGGATGGGTAAGAGAGATTCTTTTTGTAAAAGTTCAACTCCCACTGTACCAAATTGCCCAGAGCAGTTTCTGAAATATATGATTGTTCCATTACTAGTTGTTATATAGATGGATAAACAATTGAAAGGATGAATATTTCAAGAGTAAATGTTATAATAATCCAAGCTAGAAATGATGGATATTAGCATTAGATTAAATGTTATCATAGTAATCCAACTAGAAATGCCAGGCAAAAACTTATATGTTTTGTATATACAGTATTCTGCTTCAGAGCAAAGGAAATTTACTCAAGATTTGGATGTAAAAAGGAAGCATCTGATATCACTGCATGCCTGGTGTCCTAAACAACTGTAAGTTACAATTTGTCTAAGTCTTTGGGGGCTATTGTAACAAAAATTGTCATAGATTAAATAATTTAGAAACACTGTTTTTCTCAGTTTTGGAGGCTGTAAACTCCAAGGTGAAGGTACTTGAAAAATTTGATGTCTCCTGATTCATGGATAAGCATAGTCTTGCTGTCTTCACATGACAGGAACACAGAAACTGAGATTTCTTTCATAAGGATACTAACCACCTCCAAAACATCCTACCTCTGGATACCATCACATTGCGGTTAGGCTTCAATATATGAATTATGAGGTACACAAACATTCATACTACAGTACCACTTATTGACATGAGAGAGACTCAGAGGAATAGGCTGAGGAATATGCAAGTATAATTCTTCTGTCCATTATCTTTAGTGGCACATTTGTGTTTCTAAATATAATTTTCTGTTGAAATCTGTTCTTACCTATCAAAATATAAATAATACTATATATTACTTTCAATTTAATTAAAAGATCTAAATAGTCATTTTCCCTCAAAATTCTGGGATGTTTCCCTTGTTCTAGTTTCAACTCTTAACAATATTAATTGAAACCCTTCTACTACCTTCTACTAATTATCTGTTTTGTGTAGGAGATTGAACCTTAAACTTAGGGTTTGTTGCTAAAGGTTTTTCTTTAAGCTATTGAGTGTTTAAAATACATCTTATTGTATTTTAAACCAACAGTTCTATATATAGGTATTTTCTGGTTTCAAACAGTTGTCTCTGCTGGTTGTAAAATTAGAATTGTCAAGCTCATACCAAATCTATGAATTTACTTGCAATAATTGAATCATAAGTTTTCTGCTTTGTTGAGAATAAAGGAAATTAGTTCAAATACAAATGCAATTATTATAATTCATTATTTATAATTCAGATTATCATGTAGTGTGAATTTTCCACGTTGGCTTAGGTTAATTCAGAGAAATACATTTTTCAGTATATTTTTTAAAATTTGTTTGGTTCAGCAGAGCAAACAGTATCTGCAGAATTGTCATTTTCAGTGAAAGATCCCCTTGTTAAGATCTTTTAAAAAGTTAACCCAAGTATAACTGTATGAACCTATGTAAATTAACATTTTTATGTGTCTTATGGGCAGACCTTACATGGATAGGTTAAAGATGTTCTGTCTTCAACCTAATGGCTCTATAGTTTGTAAAAATCAGCCAACAGCTGAAGGAGGTCAGTAATTTTTCTATTTAAGTATCAAATATAATGTGTATTGAGTGTTCACAATTATTTGTCCAGCAATACCAATTTTGTTTTTTTCTTGTGAAGACTTTTTTATAAAGTTGAGTTCCTGTTTTTTAAAAATTAAAAATTATAACAATGCCTTTCTCATAATATTCTAAAACTATTACAGATGCAAGTTAAAGGAAACTGTAAAAAATAGAATATATTATGTTCAAAGATTAACAGATTTAAAATTATAAAGATGTGAGATATAAAGATTCTAATTTATAATTCAACAACTCCTGACACACTCCAAGCAGGTATTTTTAAAATTAAATTGGCAAACTGAAAACTTATATAGCTGTACAAAGAGCCAAAAATAATCAAACCAGTCTTGAAGAACAATGCTGCAGGTTTTAACCTGATTTTGGTTCTGTCATAACAAATCAGTAATTAAACAATGAGATAGTCATGCAAATTAGAAAAATAAACCAATGGAATCAAACAGAGAATCTAAAAACAAACACAGATCTGTTAGTGTGAATTTAAAATTTTAAATTTTTGGCAAAATTGATGTAGCAGTGCAGTGGGAAAAGGTATTCTTTTCAACATATGATGTAAGATCACATGAATGTCATATGGAAAAGCGTAAGAATCATGCGGTAATGCACACAAAGGTAGAAGTGATTTGCTGTCCAAATAATGAATTTAAGTTTCAGGTTCTCTGTAAGTCATGGCACCCTGTAAGTCAGAGTTCCTGGGAGTATTGGGTTCTGGGTACAGAAGGAAAGCCAACTTTCAGTCAGAATTATTTCTCTAAAGATACTTCTGAAGAAAGGGACCTGGATATTTAACCCTCACATAGTTTGTGAATTTTTTCTTGTTCTACATTAAAATTGACTTTGTATTGAATACTGTATTTATTGTTTTAAATATGAACCATCACTACCACTTTCCCTAATGTATAAATTTTAGATCTGAGAAATTTAGATCTGCTTCTGAGGAGTCAGAAGAGTTCATTCCAATTTTTTGTTTTCTTTTTCTTTTTTCTTTTGTCTGTTTTGTTTGTTTTGTCTTACCATTAACATCAGATTCAGTTACAGTATTTTGCTTGCAGTAATAGACCTATGTATTTTTTATTTAAGGAAATGACCAAATAATCACTGTTATTATTTCAGCCAAAAGTGTGCTATGACAAAAAGCAGGTATTTGAGCTTACAACTCAAAAGAATTGAACAAGAGCTTTTCTGAATACATTGTACTTCAGTATGCAGAAGTAATTTATGGATACTTTCCATTCATCACATAGAATGTTAAAAGGATCTGTCCTTAATATAATTAATTGATTTTTATTAAGTTTTTTAAAACATTCTTGAATAAAACTGTCTCTTCTTCTGTATGTAGAAGGAAGAAAACAAGGATTTGAGTCATGCTAGCAGTCCTACTCCCCACTGCTTTTGAATCAATACATATGTTAATACAGGTGTCTTAAGATAAACTATGATGTTTAAAAACTTTGAGCATAACTTGTGCTTAGTTCAGGCAGTCAAATAGAAGATCTTATTTGATGATTAGTTGGTGCTAATGCCAGGCAGACACAAGTAAAAAGCAAATGTAGTATAAAATCTACATATCTATTTTTAAGGAGAAATCACAATTCTGGTCATAAGGCCTTAACCCAGTCTTTATGTTTTAGTGAAGTTTTTAATTCATTTGAAAAATAGAACTTCATGATTTATTTTAGTAACTTTTCCTGCAGCAGCAATTCCTTGTAAACTATACTTTTGTGCATGCACCAAACACAAGTAATGCTTTATAAAAACTAGTTAAAAGGAGTTCTTAAAAACCAAAACAAGGAGGCAAAAATATTTTGAGAGAAAGTGATAAAATAGGAAAGACTCAAGATAGGAAAATTGAAGATACAGATAAGTGAGTCAATAAAAAAACCATATCTAGAAAATAGAATATTTAAAATTTGCTGAAAATTACATTGTAAATTATACATTAAAAGAACACACTATAACCTAGAATATCAGCTAAAAACAACAACTGAAACAAAGACATACTCTGACAAAGTCAATAAGCTTGAAATAAAGAAGAAAAAATGGGAATTTAGGAAAAAACAGCACATTTTATAAGACCATCAAAATTATCTTTAGATGAGATGTAGAAACAACTTCAGGCATATTAACTGCCTTTTGAAAAAAGGCCCATACACCTTTCCTGAAGGAAAGAGTCTCTTTAATAAATGGTGCTGAGAAAATTGGCTTTATACATGTCAATAATTGAACCTAGATCCATATCTCTCACCATGCACTAAACTAAAATTAAAATGGATTAAAAATTTAAATGTTAGAAACAATCTGCTGGAAGATATAATAGATAAAACTCTTGAACATATAGGTGTAGACAAAGGCTTTATGAATAAAATAGTGATTCCATGGGAAATACTGTAAAGTATCAACAAATTGGTCACATCAAATTAAGCTTCTGCACAGCAAAGGAAACCACTAACAGAGCGAAGAGAGAACATACAGAATGAGAAAAAATTTTTGCTAGCAAATCCTCAGAGGTATAATATCTAGAATAGATAACTCAAAAACAGTAGACCCTCCTGCTTTAAAGACCCAATCCAAAAATGGCATCTGAAATGAATAGACACAACTCAGATGAAGAAGTACAAACAGCCAATAAATGCATGAAAAAATGCTCAGTATTGCTGGCCATTTGAGAAATGTAAATTGAAAAACAACATCAAGATTCCATCACACCAGAAAGAATGGCTATCATCAAGAAATCAGCTAACAGCATATGCTGGTGAGGCTGCAGGGAAAAAGGAACCTTTCTCTATTGTTGGTGGGAATGTAAATTGGTACAACCACTATAGCAAGCAGTATGGAGATTCCTCAAAAAACTAAAACTAGGGAGATCATTTCATCGAGCTGTTCCCCTGATAGCTATCTTCCTGTAGCACTTAAGGTCATCATAAGATAGTGATATATACATACACATGTTTATAGCAGCAGAATTTATAATAGCTAAATCTTAGGCACAGCCCATATGCCAATCAACAGATGAATGGATACAGAAAATGTATTTATATACAATGGAATACTGTTCTGCCATAGAGAAGGATAAACTTGAGACATTTTTAGGTAAATGGATACATCTCAAGAGCATAATCTTTAACCAGTCACATAGGTTTAGATGCCACAGTGTTTCTCTTGTGTGAGAAACCCAAAGTATAAATGATATGAAGAAGTAGGATGAAATTTTTCAACTGGGAAGAGAACAGCGATGGGAGAGGGGGAGAGAAGGAAGGGAAAAGGGAAGAATTGGAGGAAACAATCAAAATAGAGCTTTTGTGAATGGAAAAGTCCAAAAATTTCTGAAGAGGCTACAAAAGATGAGCTAATTTGTTCTGTTCTCGATATCAGAACATGTAGTTGATATTTTATATCTCTACAGAGTATGAAGGTAGGATCTTCAAGGATGGTTTCTTCTGTGCGGTCTGATTCTGGCCAAATCCTACCTATCAGCTATTTTAAGATTCAGGTGAATGGATAATGAAATCTTCCTGGGTAGTGCAATAAACAAACTATTTTCATTTACCTTTTTCTGTTATTTTAGAGGTTCTCAATGCCTTTCCAACAGTCTTTTAACTATGAACTTGTTGCTAATGCTTGGTTACTATTTCTGTTACTAAATATATCTTACTTGTTGCTATGTCCTGAAACCTCTTTCAAATACTTTTCTTCAACCTAGGTTCCACATTAAGATTTTATTTCTCATAAAATTAGGATAGGGGGTTTTACTTAAAGAATCTGTGGCTATCATTTTTATATTTTTGCATAAATTGTTGGTAGCAGCTGGGGAAGTACCAAATTATATCAATGAATTAAAATAGTTTTGAGCAGTAAAGTAACACCACACTATTTCAAAGTTCTATTGAACGGATCTAAAATCTTAGCCTTAGCCAAATCATTGCTGACAGAATGATGGATGTTATACCCCTTTAAGAGTTTCCTTATGGGATTATTTAAAATTCTCCATGTCTCTTTCCTCCATCTGTTTGGAGTGTGTGTATTACCTTGGCCCAAATCAAATATTACTTTAGAAGTTTGGGCATTGTCTTTTAGGCATTTGGCTCTGGTAAAATTTGGAAGAACATTATTGGATATTAAGTCTTACAACACTGGCTCATATTTTCTAAGACCACTTGCCACTTGATTCCATAGCTAGTATCATTCTTTTGTTCCCTTAAAAAAAAGGCTTTATTATGGAGCGCAAAACTTTTCACTTAAAGATTGCACAGTCTGATTCATATTAGTTTTCTGCTCCTGCTTTGGTATCTTTTAATCTGACAGTTCAGTACACTAGAAGTTTTAAATTCAAAGTGTTACCAGAACTCTATTGCCCCTGAAACTTTGCCTTTCTTGAAGTCTTTGGCATTCTTTGTCTTGTAGATGTAAAACTCCAGTCCCTTGTTTACATCACACCAATTCTGTGTTTATAATCAAATATCCATCTTTTGTCTCTTGAAACTCCAGTTTTCACCAGTAGAAGTTAAAAGAAGGAACTGCAATGATTTGAATGTATTCCTTCCCAAACTTTCCAGTGATAGTATTAAGAAACAGAATTTCAGAAGTGTTTAGGTGTTGAGGGCTTCATCTTTGTGAGTGGGATTAGCTGCTCGTGTAGAAGAGAAAGTTTACCCCTGTTGCTTTTCTACCTTTCCCTATGTGAAGACACAATATTCCTCCCTTCTGTAGAATACAACAGAGTTCCATCTTGGGATCAGAGAATATTGCTCAACAGACAGTTGAACCTGCTGGTACACTGATTTTGGAGTTTCTAGCCTCCAGAACTGTGAGTAAGTTTCCATTTTTTTATAAGTTTCTCAGTCTGTGGTATTATACTACAACAGCAGAAACAAATAGAAGTAATAATGAGTGGTGCCATTCCCATGTTTTCCTTCATTTAAATCAGAATTCAATATATGATGGTGTTTCTACCCTAACCAAAACTAACGGCAAACAGAGTAAAAATGGAAATCCTATTACAGTTTAATACAGCAGTTTCTTAACACTCTAAATGATGACCGACAATAGCACTTTGCTGACTCATTCTCTTTTAAGAACATGTAATAGTTATTCATATAGTTATATATTGCTTACACTGTACATTTTAAAGGAGAGTGGAGTTGCAGTGTATTTGTGCCTTAGTTTATTTTACACCTCTTTTCTTTTTCCATCAATGGTAACTTTTTAGTCTTTTATCTCAAATATCTCACTTTATGAGAGAGAAAAAAGGATAAATTCAATCATATGAATAGCTCAAGAAAAATAAATAGCACCACAGAAAGTGAAAGAAAAGAAAAAAGGTGAGGTTCTTTAAAGCACTTTGTTCACTGATATATTATAGTGAGGTTAGCATCATTGCCATTCGCTTGGGTTCTTGAGTACCAGATATATGACATTTGCTATTAGGACGAATGGAGATAGTACTCCATGATTTATTGTACTTTTTTCATGTATGATTTTTATTATCAAATACTTTTTGCATAGATTATTTCACTTATCACAAATATCTTTGAAGTAGATTTAATACCTTTTTTATAAATAAGGAAATTGAGGTTAAAGGCAGTTATAGAATTTGTCATTGATCAATACATAACTAATTTAATGACAAAATTGAAAAAAGTAAACTGTATCTTTTACTATAACAGCATTCTGACAACTGTACAAATAAAATGTATTCTGATGACAATTAGAATTTACTTAATTTATTTAAATTCTTTTAACCTATCAAAAATAATTTACTTGTATTAACTCTAGTCTGAAAACTAGAATTGCTTAAAACTACATTTTATTTATCATTTATATTAAATATACTGCCAGATTGTTTGAAAAGTAAAATACTTGATAAATAATTTTAAGGGAAAAACTATAACTAAGTCTCTTTTAGGTGTAGACCAGAAATATCTAATGAAACATCCAATATAATTTTCACAATTATTTCATGAGTACATCTCAAGGACATTTTACAAAATTGTAGGCAGCTGTGGTTCCTTTTATACACATTTTCTGTACTAAAGGAGTATAAGTCATCAGGTGCCAGTTGTAGTTTAGAAGGTCACAGGTGTAACTTCGAGAGTAAGACTGAAAGGGAATGACTGCCCATTGTTTAAAAACAATCTACTATGTTAAACCTGAGGGGAAGAAAAAGCACACTTTCATGAATAGCTGATGATCTGCTTTTCTGATCTCCAGATATGTATATTTGCCATAGTGACTGATCCACTAGGATGAATATTAAATACCTCACACTTGATATGGCTCTACCAGAACTCTTGAATCAGCTAAATTTCAGAGCATTCTTATTTCTTCTGTCCTTCGCATTCTGCATCCAACTTATCACTAAGAAACTGTTGGATTTATTTTTAGAATCTATCTTGTGTCCATCCACTTCTTGAAATCTTGATTGCTATCACTGTAAAGTCGCCATTATCTCTCTCCTGAACTTTGGTGATAGAGTAGTTTTCTAAATGTCTGCCAGCCTCTATTTAGCATTACCCTACCAACCAGCCTCTACATGAAAGCCAGAGTGATAATTTTGTAATATAAATTGCACCATATCTGTTACCTCACAGCCCAAAACTTTTCAATAGTTACATTGCATCATTTCTAGAATGTGACTCAATGCTCTCATCTTGGCATATGGGCCAGCGTTCCCTTTTCTCTGGCCTGGTCTAATACTGCTGTCTCCCTACCTGCCCTGTAGAGACACGCTATCTTTCTGCTTTTACAATACCAAGCTTGCTCAAGCTTGAATGCTTTTCCACTTGGTTTTTTATACCTTTCCCTGGAGAACTTTGCATGATTCAGTTCCTCAATCATCATTCAGGAATATGGTCAGGTGTCCTGTAAAGAGTTTTCTTTGATCATTGTATCTAAAATGTATGGCTCCTCACTACTCAATTCCTTTTTATCTCTTGATTTATTTTCTTCATAGCAATAACTTGTTTTTTGTCTCCATATTAATTATCTTTTTTGGAGCTTTGTATTTTTCATGGCTTCATCCTTAGTATCTGGTGCAATTCCCAATGCTTAGACAGAATAAACATTTTTGAGTAAATGAATGAATACATTTATTTAAGTCTTCATTCTAAAGCTGAGGCAAAAATAGTTTGATTTTAATATAAGGTATGTTAAAATAACTTGTTTAGCCCATTGTTCTTAGTACTTTCTGGAAGTCCCTCTTTTTTTGCAAACATCTTAAATTATAGTATTGTGTCTCCCTCAATATCGTTAATCTATTAAAAACTTTAATCTTTCATGGTCATTTGGCTCTGGGGAAAAGCCATAAATCGCACAGTGCCAGATCAAGTGAATAAGGTAGATGAGAACATACTGTCATTTACGTGTCTTTCTGTTGGATGACATGGAACAACGGGATTGTTGTTTTTGATCACACATTTTAAAGACACGAAAGAGGACTTCCAGATCTGATTCAGGATGTGGCAAGAATGAGTGTGTTCAAAGTGAGGAATATTTTGAAGGAGATTAATGGCAATGTGTCTTTTTTACTGTACTAATTTTTAAATTGTAAACAGTGTATATTTTGATCAGCTTTTGTATAAAATATTAGCTTAATAAAAGATTATTTTGCTTTGGAAAAGGGAGATTAATGGCAATGTGTCTTTTTTACTGTACTAATTTTTAAATTGTAAACTGTATATTTTGATCAGCTTTTGTATAAAATATTAGCTTAATAAAAGATTATTTTGCTTTGGAAACTTTTCTGTCAGATAAAATTTTATGCAAATTTTTGATCTGCTGAGAAACCATTCAAATGCACAGCTGGTGGCAAGTGCAGGAATTACAGTGATAACCCTAACAAAACAATTTGCCTCATCTATAGCACATTAGAATCACCCAGAGAAATTATAAAACTTTTGACTCAGGACAAACTACTCCAGAATATATAATTTAGAGCCTTTCAAGTTTGAATCTGGGATTCCCTTAACTATTTTTTAAAGATTCCCCATCTCATTACAATAAACAACCAAGACTGAGAACCACAATTTATGCAGTAGGGTGTTTTTTGTTGTTTTTGCATTTGTTTTGCAAAACAATTCACAGTGTTGACAATAGTATGGAGATATTCAAATACTTGTTAAATGAATTAGTCAGTGAATTAATGAATCAATATAGTATTGATAGCCAGTTGAACTCATGAACACTACTTGAAAAACACCTAAAGAACAGGGTTTACTGATGAAATTGCCAGATTTAGCAAATAAAAATATAAGACTCCCAGTTTAATTTAAAATTTAAATAATAGACATTTTTAAAAACAACATATGTCTCAAATACTCCATAGGGTATAATTATACTAAAAATGTGTTCATTATTTATGTGTAATTCAAATTTAACTGAGTGTCAGTTTATTTGCCAACTCTCCTGTTGAAGGAACAGTAGAGATTCTCTTATGAAAAGGATCATGTTATTAAAAATGCGAAAGAATTCATTGTTGAAGTGTTAATCTCTTCTATCTTTTATATAAAGCTATCATAAAAATAGTGTATTATCCTTAAAAATGGAATTAATTTTTCTTTTAAAAACTTTTAACACAGTAATCAAAAAATGAGATGAATTCTTGTACATTATAGATCCTTCAAGTAAGTTTAGAATTTAAATTCTCCAGTACTTGTTTTTAAGTTATCAAACATCATACACTAGAGTGGAAAAAAAGGAAAATTTGGTGTTTTTAGGACCTACTATCAGCATGATCTATGAATCATGGACTACATCACAAATGATATATTTCAAATTGTCTTTAGGGCCCTAAAAAAGTATGAGAAAGTCATCAATCCTTCAAGCTATAGGCCTTTATTACTTCTTACCTATATATTCTGTTCATTATACTAATCAGCTAAAACAAAATTGACATGGCAATAATGAATAAGACCTGACTTTAATTCTGGGAAAATAAAATTATTGGAACAAATTAGGTGAATAATTTGTTATCCAAGCAGAAGCCTCAAGGCTACTTTTTCTCATAGGGTCCATAAAAGTTCCTTTGCAAATGTCAAGCAAACACCTTTCTACCACCAGGTGGCATGCTCACATGTTCAGAACTCCAATGAATGACCCAAAGATGGATCACTATAGTTCTTTATGAGTATGAAAAGAACAGAGTAATGAAGACGAAAAATCATCATTCACAGTACTAACATTTTCCTTTCCCAACCAGATGGCAAAGAATAGTCAGAATCTGTAATGTAGCTTACATAGAGTTAGATCATCAACAGATATTTGACGTACTTAAACTCTTTTATTGTTTAAAGACATTCTCATTAACACTTGTCGAAATGTTATAATAAAACGTATTTGGGGCAATATTCCTTGTTATATATAATTTCTTTGCAGAAATTATAATGATTGATGGCCATACAAAATTTAAAAATCAGAAGATTAAAAAGGTCTGTCTAAATAGAAATTCTGATATACTATCCCATACTATTGAGACTGTTTGGGAAAAGGCAAAGTTAGGCAAGCTGTATCTCTAAGCACTGTGTGGTATCATTACAAGAACCTAGAACCCAAACTCATTTTTCTGACATAAAGTACATCTGGCATTATATTCTCATAAACATTGCTACACCTCACTTTTACAGAGTTTGAGATGACAGTGATTGGCTTTGTCACTTCTTTCCCCTTCTTTTACAGTGCTTGGGATTGAACCTAGGATTGACCTATATTCCCAGCACATTTTTTATTTTGAGATAGTGTTTGACTAAGTTGCCCAGGCTGGGCTTGTACTTGGAATCTTCTTGCCTCAGCCTCTTGGAGTGCTGGAATTAGAGGTATGTGTCACCACATCCCCCTTGGTTCTGTCAGTTCTTAAAAGCACCCACTATCTATGATATTTTACCCAGAGGTGAACATTACCTTGGAATATGAAATTTCAAATTTTATTCTGCTAAAGATTGTGCTGGGAGAGTGAATTATGTGTGGAGTGCTTAGCTCTATTTTGACTGTTAGAAATTGCCTTCATATTTACTTTGTAATTGAACACAGAGTGGCTCAGACAAACTAGAAAGTAGTTGAGTCTGCTCTCAACCCTTAGTCTGTTTTCAAAGCCTCAGAACCTCTCAAGGCAATCTATCTGACTCTTCTTATACAGTATTTCTAACCAAAGGCCATTCTGACAATAAGAGATCTGACATCAAGAGACCAAGTAACATGTTTTTATGTCAGTTTAAACACTGGGATGGAACACTCCTCATACTACTTCACTAGATACTCTTCCATATAACTGAAAGATTCATTGTTTACTCTGAGTTTCAAGACCTTTTCTAAACATAACAATGATATATTCTATCATTCAATGAAAATACAGACATTGTGTAACCAAATAAAGAAAAAAGACTTTCATATTCCCTAAATTCTCTAAAATCTCTTGACATTGTTAGAGACTTGTTTATACTTCTTAGTTTCACTTAAAAAGAATTAGAAAACTGATATTTTAAGCTAGAGGTTGTTTTGTTAGAGATGATAGATAAAATTATTTTTACTTGTAAGCTTAATTTTCATCTCTAGTGTTTGTAAAATGTACCTGGATAAATATAATACATCAATCAATTGGTATTCCACATGTTGGAAATCATCCAGTTATTTGTGGTCTTGTAAAAATATATTTCCAAAACATTTTACTTTCGCCCTCTTCAGCTGCATGTGCTAGCCTAGCTATTATACTTAATTATAATATCCTTTTCTAACCTATATCTTTGCACAGAGAAAATACAATTCTAAAAATTTAAATTTTAAGGGACTTTGAAAACATTCTGGAAAATCAGAATGGAACAAAAGAAAGGTCTGTCTAAATTGAAGACTGACAAACTTTTTCTGTCCTGGATCAGATAGTAAATATTTTAGGATTTTCAGTCCATAGGTTCATTCATGGAACTATTCAGCTTTACTTTTGTTGCCTGAACAGGTGTGGCTAGATTTCATTAAAACTTTATTTACTAAAGAAAGTGCCATAGGCTGCATTTGGTTGGCCCTGGTCTAACCAAACTGACAATAACTGACATTCTATTTTGCATAGTAAGTAAACATTTGCCATCATAGATTAGAGAGGAAATTCAAAAATTGTGGCATCTGTCACTCTTTAGTTGGCTTTGCAGATGTGCTGGTTATGTTGCATTTGTACAAGTTTCCCTTCTCTCCCTGCTATACCCTCTTGTCTCCTCGGAGGGTAACCGCAGCACACTGCACCACCCTCAAGTATTTGGTTAACATCAGCAAGAGATAAGAAGCCAGAAAGACAGAAATTCCTCTAACTCTGGAGAAGCTTTACTAAGTTAGATACTTCATTGCCTGCCAAACCTGAACTACTGTCACTTAAGGACATTCCATACTGTACATGAATCTTTTCCTTCTCCTATAGACTAAAGTTTCTTTGCTTCTGTATCTATCCTTGTAAGTCAAGGTTCTTGCAGATGCTCATTTAGAAAACACCGGATGAAATCTGTTATGTTCCTCAGAATGGAATTTCCCTTTGTTAGGATACTTTGCAAAATGCCTGAAAAAGTAAGGAAGGGATAAAGGTATCCCTTGAAACTCTTCTCTGTTTAAAATAAGGATTAAAAAAAAATCATTCTGGCAAATTCTATCGTGAAGATCATTATAAGGTCAGGCTGAATACTGGAATGAACAAAGGTTTCGGGTACAGAGTTGTATCATCTTACCAAATACTATTAGGGATTTAAAAACAAATGGTGTAATTTTATTTATGTTTGATAAGAGCTTACTATTCTAAAGACATTTAAAAGTTTCTCTGAATTGTCAGTATTGTACTATCCATGATATAATTAATTAATGATAAAATAGAATTCAGTTGTGTGATTTTTTTCTTATGTTTCATAATGACAATTAGAGATGTTACTGGTTTAACTGGAAAAAAATCATTTTAAAACTGTGTTCGTTAGCCATTTCTACTTTTGCATTTCTAGAAGTATGTCTTGGAAGACTGATCCTATGAGTCTATAAAAGCATTTGAACATGTTACAGCCTGATCTGAGAGTATGTCAATGCACAAGAACTAATTAAAGGATCAGGTAAGTATTTCAGTAACCTATCCAACATTCTTCATTAAATATTTCCAGTCCTACTGAACCGTGAAACCTTATTCTGAGACTGATTTATTACCTTTGGATGAAACTTGTTTTGGAATATCCTGGCATACTAGTTGGTTTTGATTATTAACAACATTGCTGCTAGTTTGCTGGTTATTTTTGAAATCTGTTCATTCGTTTAAAATTTTTGTTTCTCTTTTTTTTGCTCATTGAGTTTATTGGTACATTTTATGTATACAGTACAGTTACATTCATCAATGGGATCTTGTACCTTTACATGAGAGGTCTTGGTTCTCAATTTTTCCCCTTACCCCTGCCCTCCCTTCATCCCCTATTCACTTCCCTATTTACAAAGACTGTATTTCCATTTTTTCATATATTTTTTTCTTTTCCCTTATTTCCTTTCCCCTACCCTTCCCATTTTCCCTATACCTTTAGCACTTTTCTTCCTATTTTACATTATCAATTATACCATTAGGATCTTATGTACCATTATAGTTTTTCACACCAGAGAAACTTCCATATTTACACATGTGTGACTTATTTATTTCACTTAAGAGTATATTCTCAGTATGCATCCAGTTTCCTTTGAATGACTCTAATATGTCATACTTTATGGCTGAGTAGTATTCCATTTTATAGAAAAACCACATCTTCTTTATCCAGTCTCCAACTGATGGGCAAATGGGCTGTTTCCAAGTTATAGCTATTACAAACTCTGCTGCTATAGACATGGGTGCACATATATCACTGTGATATGATTCTTTTAATTCTTTTGGAAAGATACCCAGCAGAGGGATAGCTGAGTCAAATGGAAAATCTAGTCCCTGCTCCTTGAGGTATCTCCATATTGATTTCCACAGTGGTTACACCATTCTGAACTTGCACCAACAATGGGGAAGGGTTCCTTTCTCCCCACAACCCTGCCAACATTTGTTATTGGTTGATTTCTTGGTAGCAGCCATTCTTTGTGGGGTGAGGTGGAATCTCAGTATTGTTTTCATCTGCATCTCTCGAATGACCAGTGATGTGGAGCATTTTTTCATATTTTTACTTGCCACTTTTACTTCTTTGTCTAAGAAATGTCTCTTCATTTCAGACGCCCATTTTTGAATTGGGTCTTTATATTTGGGGGGCATGATTATTTTTTGAGTTCTTTAATATTCTAGATAATAGTCCTTTGTCTGAGGAGCAGCTGGTAAAAATTTTCCCCCATTGTTTTCTTTGCAATGCAGAAGTTTTTTAATAAGATGAGATCCTACTTGTTGATGCTTTCTGCTAGTTCCTGTGCTACTGAGGAATTTTTCATAAAGTCTTTTCTTACAACAATGTTTTCAAGAGTTCTGCCTAACTTTTCTTCCAGAAGATTTGGTGTCTCTTTTTTAATATTTAGATCTTTACTCCACTTGGATTTTACTTTAGTGCATGGTTAAAGATAAGGGTCTAGTTTTAATCTTTAGAAGGTTGAAATGCAGTTTTCCCAACACAGTTTATTAAAGAGGCTATCTTTCCTCCACTAAAGATGGTTGACTCCTTTGTCAAAGATGATTAAGCTGAGTACATCTGGAGTTGTTTCTGTATCTTCCAATCTATTCCACTGATCGTCAGATCTGCTTCTTTGCCAATACCAAGCTCTTTTTATTTCAGTGGCTTTGTAGTATAGTTTCAAATTGGGAACTGTTATACCCACTGTCATATACTCTGTTATACTCTGTTGCCTAGGAGGGCTTTTGCTATTCTAGGTCTCATGTCGTTCCAAATGAATTTTTGTATTATTTTTTCTAGTTCTGTGAAATATACTATTGGAATTTCGATCCACATTGCATTGAATCTGTATAGCAGTTTTGGTAGTATGGCGATTTTCACTATGTTGATTATTCCTACCAAGGAGCAGGGGATATCTTTCCATTTTCTTATATCCTCTTTGATCTCTTTTTTCAGAGTGCTGTAGTTTTCATTGTAGAGGTCTTTTGCTTCTTTCGTTAGATTGATTCCTGGATGCTTATTTTTTTGGATGCTATTGTGAAAGGAATTATTTCCCTAATTTCTCTCTCAGTGAGTCTGTTATTTGTGTACAAGAAAGCTATTAATTTTTGAGTGTTAACCTTGTATTCAGGTACTCTGCTGAAAGTGTCAATTAAGTTTACAAGTCTTTTGGTGGAATTTTTTGGCTCTTCAATGTAGAGTATAATATCATCAGCAAATAAGGACAGTTTAATTTCTTCCTATCCTGTCTTTATTGCTTTAATTTCTTTCTCTTGTCTAATTGCTCTGGCTAATGTTTCCAGAAGTATATTGAAGAGGAGTGGTAATAGTGGGCATCCTTGTCTTGATTCTCGTTTTAACGAAAAAGTTTTCAGTTTTTGGCCATTTAATATGATGTTGGCTGTTGGTTTTTCATAGATAGCCTTTATTAAGTTGAGATATAGACCATCTATTCCTTTTTTTTTTTTTTCAAATTTATTAATTTATTTTATCTTATTTTAAAATTCTCATATTAAGCCTTTAGAATTTACTTTTAAATTGATACATACAAAAAATGTAAACTTGTACACATTAACAGAATACCATATAATGTTTAAATCAGATTAAACATATCTTCTCATACATTTGTCATTTCTTTATGGTTGAAAACTTTAAAAAACAATTTCCTCTAGCCTTTTGAAATGTACAATATAATATTTTATCTATTTTTAAGAGTGAAGTTATGAGGTACTTGCTTTTCTGTGCCTGGATTATTTTACTTAATGCAATGATCTCCACTTCATCCATGTGGTTCCAAGCAACAGGATTCTTTCTTGTTTAATGAAAGGACAGTATTCCATTGTATTAAAGAAGCATTTTCTCATGGCAGAGGATGAAAAGGGAGACTTATTATTTTGAATACCCCCAAATCCAGGTCAAAGAGACCAGTTTAATCTTGTCCAATCTTGAATCATTTCCCTGTCCAAAAAAGAGATCCTAGTACCCTTGGACCCATACTGGTCATTCCTGAGCTGTATGTCCTAAGGCATATGAAAGGGGAGATGTCAGAGACCTGTGATCTGTGCAAGTAAAAAGCTGAATTCACATGAAGTACTGATAAAGCTAATTGACAGGAAAAGATGACAGATCAGATAGACCTGCTGAAAAAGATCTCAAGTAGGGACAAAGAGAGGAAGATCCAGAGCATCCTCAGTTTGAGGCACAGCAGGTATAGAAAGTCAAAAAGAAGATGAATATTAAAGAGATGAATAGGTTGGTGTGGTGATATGCCTAACACTCTAGGAGGCTGAGGCAGGAGGGTCATAAGTTCCTTTTTTTGCAAGGTTTTTATCATGAATGGGTGTTTAATTTTGTCAAGTGCTTTTTCTGCAACTTTTGAGAGAATCATATGGTTTTTATCCTTGACTCTGTTAATATAGCGTATAACATTTATTGATTTACATATGTTGAACCATCCTTGCATCCCTGAAATAAATCTGACTTGGTCAGGATGTATGTTCTTGATGACCCTCTGTATTCTCTTTGCTTGTATCTTATTAAGGATTTTTGCATCTGTATTCATTAAGATTGGCCTATTGTTCTCTTTTTTGGTTGGGTGTTTCCCTGGCTTGGGAGTCAAAGTTACAATGGCTTCCAGGAATGAATTTGGAAGTATTGCTTCCCTTTCAATTTCATTGAAAAGTTTAAAGAGTAGTGGCAGTAGTTCTTCTTTAAATGTCTTGTAAAATTCAGTAATGAATCCATCAGTACCTGGGTTTTTCTTTTTGGTAAACTTTTAATTACATTTTCAATTTCTCTGATTGTAATTGGTTTGTTTAGAATTTTTATATCTTCTTTGTTCAACTTTGGTAATTCATAAGTATCTAGAAATCTATGCATTTCTTCTGTGTTTCCCATTTTATTAGAATACAGGTTCTCAAAGAAGGTATTGATGATCCTCTGGATTTCTGTTGGATCTGTTGTGACTTTAACTTTTTCATTCCTAATTGCATGGATCTGAGCCTTTTCTTTCCTTTTTTTGTTTTTGTTTTTTTTTAATTTTATTTATTTATTTTTTGAGAAGGTTAGCTAAGGTTTTATCAATTTTATTTATTCTTTCTTTTTTTGGGGGGGGTACCAGGGATTGAATTCTGGTCCTTAGCTTACAAGGCAGGCCACCAAACCACTGAGCTAAATCCCTGGCCCTCAATTTTATTTATTCTTTCAAAAAACCAACTTTTCGATTCACTGATTTTTTTTGTGTGTGTGTATTTTCTTAGTTTCCATTGCATTGATTTCTTCTCTAATCTTTATGATTTCCTCTCTTATATGAGCTTTGGGTTTTTCTTGCTTTTCTTTTTCTAGGAGTCTAAGATTCATCATTAGGTTGTTTATTTGAGCTCGCTTAGTTTTCCTAGTGTGGGCATTCACTGCTATGAATTTTCCACGTAGAACTGCTTTCATTGTGTCCCATAGATTCTTGTATTTTGTATAGGTATTATCATTTATTTGTAAAAACTGTCTAATTTCTTAATTAATTTCCTCTGTGACCCATTTATTGTTCAGGAGGGTGTTGCTCAATTTCCATGTGTTTGTGAAGTTCCTACGGTATCTTATGCTATTGATCTCCAGCTTGATTGCACTATGATCTGATAATATACAGGGGATGACTTCACTTCCTTTGCATTTGTTCAAATCTGTTCTATGAGCTAGTATGTGATCTAACTTGGAGAATGCCCCATGTGCAACTGAAAAGAATGTATATTCTGATTTTGTGGAATGGAACACTCTGTAAACATCTATTAAGTCCATATGTTCAAAAGCTTGGTTCAGTTCTAGTATTTTGTTATTGATTTTTGCCTAGATGATCTGTCTGTTTGTGATAGTGGGGTATTTAGCTCCCGCACTACAATTGTATTAGTGCTTATTTGTTTTTTCATGTCATTTAATATTTGTTTTACATAGTTGGGTGCATTGATATTTGGTGCATTTATATTTATGATTGTCATCTCTTCCTC